CAAAAATTGCAATTGGTCGGAACAACAAAAGTAAATGATCTTTCTAACTGAGAGCTGGTCCCTAAAGGAAATAAAATCACAACAGTGCTAAAACTATGAATTGTAGGACACCGCAGATTACTAAAATTCTTGCCGTAAGTAGAAAATATGCTTATTTCATTTTAAATACATTTTTGCAAATATCTCGAAAACTAAAACCATGCGACGGCAACATGTAAAGGAAAGAGTTGTTCAGAATGTTGACCTTGAGCATATATTTAAAAGTCATCGATATCGGCGATTAATCGCTGTTAATGTAAATAATTACCATTTTCGTTACGAGCTCAAGAGAACAAGGTTTAAAAACTCGAGTTTGTTATTTATTTTTTCAACCAATTTCAATTTTTGCGAAAATTTGTTTACACGTTGCCTAGTAAACAAATCAGTCTAACATCTCAAAAAGATTCAAATCATTAGGTCAAATTTGAAAAAAGTTATCGCGTTTTGACAGGTGTCCGAATATTATCGTCACTCACTGTATATTTGTGTCAAACTTTCACTCGCAACCTTTCTTTGTTTTCACTACTCCTCACTTTCGACGCGAGTGAAATTGGAGCCAACCCTCGGTAGGTGAATTTAAATATCCTATCCTCGCGACTGCAATTCTAGCTAGCTTATATCCAAATAAAAAGATAGAAATCCTACTAATTATACTCTCCCTTTCTGTTTTCACACTTTTCTCTTTTCGTTGATGAGGATCTAACGACATCTTTCAACAAAAATGCCACTCGATAGGAAAATCTCTTCCCGAATCTCTTCTCTGATTACCACAATATACGAGGTGGTGTTTAAAAAATTATTAGCCACTATATGTCTACAATTTTCTACTTTATTACTCTGTCTATAATATATTTCTACAATATCCCTCCCATTTTGAGTTGGTGATTATTGAGACAAAACCGATACCAATTCTCCCATCGTTATACTTGTCCATATGATTATTTGTCTATTAGTTCGGCTATTCATTTATTTAATACTTCTTTTCTCTTAGTTCTCGCAGATTTATATTTGCTAAACTCTTTTGTAGTTAAAGTGATGTTCTAACAATTTTTCACAGAACTTGTCTGTCTCCAGTGAAAATTGTTCTTCAAAGTATCCGATCGTTGCAGTGTTAATCGGTTTCCGGTAGGCAAAGTGCTAATTCCTTTAGCACCTCTTATTAACACTCGAACGGCGGGTCTCGGGTCCAGTTGGACCCAGAGTATAAATATTGTTATTTGGCTGTCTTATTTCTGACAATTGATTTCAATTTTCACATGGTTCACTAAGGTCTATAGAAAAACTAACGGGGTCTAGGTGGAATATTTTACAAAATATGTTAAACAAAGACGATTCAGAATGACTGATTAGTCCGAGTGTTGGCAGAGTACATACAGTAAGGAGCATAACTGAACCAACAACCACAAGTTTTGTATAAATCATTATTTATTGCTAGGAATATACAAGAATAACGAAAAATAAACATTATAGTTATTTTCATAGCATTTAGGAGTAACATAAGAAATTTTTGCAATAATTAATGTCTTGTTGTTTAGGAATGACAACAATAAATTGAATCGGTTTTGCACCACGTCCAATACTTGATAATATTTAATATATTCTTCATTTTTAATATTTCGTCCACAATCCTTTTGCTTGCAAAACTGCATTAATTCGTTTTGACATACTTTGCAATAATCCGGAGATATTTGTTCCCACTGTTCTTGAATTCTATTATACAAATCTGTGATTGAAGTTGGTTGGGAATCATATGAATCCCGAAGTCGTCTTTTTAGTAAACCCCATAGATTTTCTATGGGATTAAGGTCCGGGCTCTACGCAGGCCAATCCAGAACAGAGAATTTTTTAGTACTGAGCCAATTTTTTACACTTTTAACAGTGTGCTTAGGATTTCGGTCATGCATGAAAATTACATTTTCTTCTTCAAAAGGCATATTTTCTCAACAGCTTCTATGAGATAATCTTGTAAAATATTCTTATACATGTACTGATTCATGATGCCATTAATTCGGTGCAGTGATCCAACACCAAATGCTGTTAGGCACCCCCAATCCGCCTCCATGCTTTACCGTTTGCTTTATATGTCGTGGTTTAAGCCTTTCATTTTTACGAATCCATCTGAACAAATTCTGTTAATTTTGGTCTCGTCTGACCAAATAACCCGTTCCTATTCAATAGCTGTCCTGTTTTGGTATCTTTGGCAAATTCCAAACGAAGTTTAATATTCTTCTTCAAACATTGGCTTCTTTCTTTTTTTAAGGTTTCTAAACTCAGCTCCATTGAGAGTTCTTCGTACTGTTCACTTGCTTATTTGTATATTCGTGTTTTCTTTTAATAATTTTGCAGACATAGTGGCACTTGAAGCTTCACCAGATATGACAAACCGTATAATTCTTTGTTCATTCCACAGTGATAATTCTTTTCGTTTTCCTCCAACATTTAATAATATACTTTTACAGTATTTTTTTTTCTTATTCTCTGCACTGTCGATTGATTAATATTATACTTTCTCGCCGTCTAGCACGTTGACACGCCGTCATTCAAAAGAGAAATTACTTTTTTAAAACAATGTGGTGCAATTGACTTCATATTTATTCTTACTTCACCTGCATCCTTTTCCGTTCGACTGATTGCGAGAAACTGAGTACTAAGACGTGCAATATCATTTTGTAAACATATGAAATTGTTAGATATAAACACACACCGGTGCAAAACCGAATCAATCTATTTTTATTGTTATTGCTGAAGGAGGAGAGATTAATTATTGAAAAATTTTTTTGTGTTACCTCTGACTGTTATAAAAATGACTATAATGTTTATTTTTTAATATTCTTCTATCTTCTTAACAATAAATAATGATTTATATAAAACTTGTAGTTATTGGTTCAGTTATGCTCCTTACTGTATATTGTAGTCATATTTCACTCTACTGTATCGTAAATAACGATATTTATAAGAGCCTCTGCATAAACATCATTCTTTGAGCAGAAGCTAAGGAAACCGAGGGATCAGCGAGCTTTTCCAACTTCCGGTTATATATATGCACTGATATTGAACAACTGTATTTATGTCTCTACCTATGACACTAGAAACCCTTTATTTCCTAATCTCATTTCATTTCATTATATCCCTTCATATTTCAAAATGAAGTGGTCTGATGGTTGAATTATTTACAACCGCTGGCGTGAAATTACGATGTTTCATAAGCAATAGTTGATTACCATAGACATAGAATACATAACTGTAAAATTCATTTATTGTCCTTTCGTTATTATACTTTTTCATTTGAGTGAATAAGTATTGCAAGCCTTGTAATTTTGAATAAATTTTATGCTTCAAATTTTATTCTTTAGCTAATAATAAAGGCCTAGTAATGCAGAATCGCAAATTTCTATGCATTGTGCCTTAAATGATTTTATTTCTGTTATATACAAGAAAATTTAACTATCGTCTCTTAAATAAATAATATGAAAAACAATTCCCGCTGCTTCAAAACTCGCTCTTATATTTATTAATCTTCATGAAAAATAACTTTTTTTAGACGTCAATAGTTGTTAAGATAATAAATTATGTATATAATCTAACTCAGCTGTACAAAATAACAAGAGCGAATAACGGTTGATGACTTCAGGGATCATATTGTGCCAATGCAATGACGTATTGGTCGCAGTAAAAAGAAGTAAAAAAAGAAAACTTGCAAACACAGGGTCGAATGCAAACAAGTTAATGAGAGTTCCAAGGTCTAAAATAACAAGACCTTTGAAAATACTACGGCGTATTACCTGAATACATCGTTAGAAAAATGACATCAAATTCTGTCGAGAAATCATTTCAGGAAGACTCATGTTGCAATGAAGGTATTTGTTCCAACATTATTAGACGTAAAAAAATTACAAGGTTATCACACTATTCGAGATAGTGCTACCAAAAACTCATTCGAACGAACCCAACAATTCTGCAATACTTTATGATATAAATTAATGTAATATAATATATATTTCATATACTTTCGTGAAATTATTCAAAAGTATATTGAATATTTCTCTGTCAAATGTTTGCAACATCAAACTTTACGGTCCCATTCCGTTTAAATTTCAAATTGAGTTTTAAATCGCAAAACCATATCAATTAAATTGCTCATAGCATACGTTAACATATTTATAGCTCGATAAAAATTGGCAGACGGGTAGATAAAAGCATAAGAAAGTAACCCGTAAAGTTGTTAAACCTTATCTAATACCGACGCAGAGAAACTGGTGAAGCCTGATTTCTTGTTTACCAAAACATCCAAGCACAGATAGAGGGGAATCTTTTGTTACATAGAAGAATGTTTTCGAAAGACGTCTTCAAGCCCCTGGGAGAAGGTCTACGTGATGTAGAGGAGGGCTTATGAGACTCTTACGGATACATCCGGTGATCTTCCCGTGCTCCTGGTTCTCGCCTGCCTCAGAGAGGACTAGTCCCTTCCTCATACAGGTACCTAATTGAGTAGGACCTCGAAAAATACGTATAGCCAATATCATTTGGACGCTGGCACCGTGGGAGGCCGGGGTCGCCTCAGGATAAGGTTCTTCTGCCTCAATTGTCTGAAATCGGATTTGCGGGGGTAGCAGTGGAGCCGCATGCTGGTTGAATGTCTCTGTGAGAGTGTGGACAAGTGACCTGTGTCAATCTTGAATACAACTTATATACCATCTTGTAGAGACGAGAAGATTTTGTCATATAATACTATTCAACCAGTAACGTGCAGGTTTAGATCGGCTGGTAGGGCAATTCTCTGTCCATGGAGGCCGTAAAGGTAAAAACTGTTACAAGGGACTGTATGTTAAATCACCGAATAAGGTATTAAACATTGCTCTTCCAGTTCAAAACACATATGTCTGACATATTTTTTAGATTTTAAGCAGAGAAATTTTAAATGAAATCGAGTGTGTGATTTCCATTGCATCAGATACACTTCGTTAATTGATTAAATGCATATATTTTCGTGAAAATTTTACAAAGGCATGGAAACAAGTATTTCCAGTTCTGGTAGTTTTACCTCACTATTGTTTTCGGCTATCAGTTACTCACATAAGATCAAAAGTTATTCAAATTTCGCTTCTCTACGAACATATAGACAATAGAGGTTGGAGTTGTTTTTCAATTCTCAATTATTTTAAATACACATTGTAAAAGTCTATAAAGCTGCACATACTATTGATATTATTACTATACTTTCAACTTCAAAATATATGTGTGATCTTAAACTTTTATAGTTAAGAACACTGTCGAAAGCATCTTAGAAGAGAGATATTTCCATACATCATTTAACTTTTTAAAATAATCTAAGAATTCTCTTCATACGTGTAACACATATCAAGTGTAACTGAATTACTCAGTTATTGATATTGAATCAATATTTATCTTCTCTCAAAATTTTCAAATTTAACGGTCGCTAAACTTTATTACTAAATGCTATAAATATTTAGATAACTGCCTTACAATTAGGTGTTGAAACAACGCACTTAAAAAACAATCTTGATGGCTAGAACAATAATATTAGGTCCTGCATACGGAAATTATTCCATATCTTGTGGTTGCGCAAAGTGTATAATAAGATATAGGATGTATTTACTAAAATACAGTCTTATTTCTCAAACTAGCAAAAGTATTTATTGCTAAATATAAACAGTTGATTCATATTCTTACTCTAAAAGCACATATGCATCCCCAGGGCATAGCGAGCAATTTACCCTGAACACGTATATGCGTCCATAGCATTAAAAGGATTAGAATTGTATTAGTTTACAAAAAGTCATTAAACTATCAGCTTTTAAAATATTATACTGTTTTGCTTATAAGTTAATAAAATCCAGTACTTCTGTGTGAAGCTATATCTACGGATTTTATTCGTTTAAACTTACAAGGGATATTCGGTAAGTGATACATGATTTTTACGTAATTTTGCACAGCTATTTATTAAACTCACTTAAGAATTTTACTATATTTGACCGATGTTGCATTCATGCTTTTTTGTTATAAACTCCTTTTTTGTCCAATTTATTTAAAATTCAACGATGTATCTCAATGTATAATACGTTTGTTTCGTAAGTTTTCTACACTACCGTCAGCATAAAAAAAACCTATGTCCATCTGAAAAGTAAAAATTTCTTTAAAACATAGGAAGGAGTAGTTTCATTTTCACAGAAAAAATTATTTTTATGTACAGATATATAGATCTTCAGAAATTGTATAAAAACGAAGAGAAATAATAGAATATATAAAGAGTTACTTCTTCCTCTGAGAAAAAAATAGCATTAACTAAAATTATATTAGAATTTTAAAGTCGATTCAGTAATAAATAATTAATAATGAGAACAGTTGTGCAAAGTTACATCAAAATCTATGTATGAATCTTACTGAGTACAGATATATAGATCTTCAGAAATTGTATAAAAACGAAGAGAAATAATAGAATATATAAAGAGTTACTTCTTCCTCTGAGAAAAAAATAGCATTAACTAAAATTATATTAGAATTTTAAAGTCGATTCAGTAATAAATAATTAATAATGAGAACAGTTGTGCAAAGTTACATCAAAATCTATGTATGAATCTTACTGAACATTTTCCACTAGAAGTATCTAATATAATATAATAATGATTTCTGATGAGCTTATAATTTATACTAATATATCAATTCATTTATTCAATATTGTTTATGTAGGGTTTACTATAAAAATATGTATAGAAAAATGATCATATCTTACGAATTACTGGGGACAGTGTATTAATTTAACATTAGCGACTAGATTCATATGTGAATTCATTATATTAAATTAGCATATACCTTTGTTAATAATTTATTATATATTAGTTGTGTAAGTTAAGTGTAATACTTCGATAAAAACCTATTTTCGCTTTTAACGTAAATTTTCTTTTCTATCTGTAACTTTCCAGTTGCACATTTCTTACCCAATCATTGTAATGTAATCTTGAAAACAATATCCGATTGTAATCAGTTGTCTTCAGTCGAACCACCTTGCAATTCCCGGTACTGACAGATCAGGTCATGCACCCCTAAGATTGCTAACCCGTATACCACAGCATTCTACAGACCATAGTTGTCCTTGGAACTAACGCTCAAGGAATTCAATTTTTTTTTACGAACTAGCAAACCGTGTCTGTACACGGTAGTCACCTTAGTTATTTATCATAAATTTATCATGCTTACATACCTTGTAAGTTGTCCAACATGTATGAAAGCAGCTTGTTAGTTCCTGAAGGTTCACCATATAACGCCATCACTTCTTTGCTGAGTGGATTACCCTGAAGTCCAAGCACTTTCAATTGGAACAACTTTCCTAATTCGTACGGTAACACTCGAAGATAATTTTGATTCAATAATAACTCTCTAAAACAGAAAAAGAATTTACAATAAGAATCATGTTTACTTTGGTTTCATATAGTTATATTGAATACTTATTTAATTGCATCAAACAAGCAGAAATTATACCTGAGGTAGATGAGGTCCCCCAGTTCTGCTGGCAAACTACGTAATTTGTTGCTACTGAGATCTAAAGCACGCAGGTTAACCATCCGACCAATCTCAGGTGGTATCCTTTGCAAACTATTATCATTGAGATATAATGCTGTCAAATGTGTTAACTGCCATAAGTTTGGACTCAGATTTCTTACACTGCCTGTTATCTCCAACTCCGGCCAATAAGATTTCTTCCCAGAGTTGGCATCCTCCGTGGACATGAAAGTGTTAGTACGACGTGGGTTAGAGTTTTCATATTTGTCCTTGTGATTGCGGGACATTTTAAATCCTGAAAAAATTTAATTAATCAGTGTTAGCATTATATGTAAACCATACCATATTTTTAAAATACCCTATGACTATAATACCTCAATGTACCTTAAACATGATTAGGGTACTATAGATCAAATCTGAATTGTGCTAATAATATAATCGATAGGAATAATATATTTTTGAAGTTTCTTATTAAAACTGGATTTTACAAAGTTTTAAGTAATCTAAGTTTAAAAAATTTCTTTAAAAACATAACATGCTTAACTTGGGATTTGTATTAAATACAATTTTCTTACAAAATAAGATACACATTTTCATAAGATGAAAATTCTTCACTGCCTTCAGAGGGATTCAGAAAATTAG